GGCAACATCCGTATGCCTCAATTGAGGCATCCGCAAAGCCATGTATTTGACATACGGTATTTTTTGTCGTACCTACATGACTTGGAATTGTCAATATATCCAACTCTTCGAAACCAATTGTGATAGATTGCCATTGTGACTGCTGAAGGATGTCAGGAATTGGATCATCCCACTCTATCTTAAGCCAAATCTGTTGTATAAGAATTTTGGCCTTTGTGACAACAGGACAGATAAGCCCGAGAGGATCATATAGGCGAGCGGTAAGGGACAACATAGATCTTTTTGTTGGTGCATGGCTTGTACACATCTCTGGCGAAGAAAACCTTAAGATGTCATGATTTGGGTTCCAAACGAGTCCTAACGCCTTTGTATTTTCGTGCTCCCCGACAGATACATCTGTAGACTGATCTATTAGAAGATCTATTAGCTGCTCACAGTTGGTTGCCCACTTCGAAAGAACAAGCCCGGCCGAGCCTAAGATTTCCTGAATAGCTTCTACGCCTGACAAAAGATCGTCAACGTAGAAGCTATTCGATAAGACTAAGGATCCTAGAGGGTGAGAAACTTAATATATATCACTAAGGTACTTGAGGCAGCGGATAGCTAAGAACGGTGCGCAGGCCGTGCCGTATGTAATGGTAATCAAGCGATAGACTTGTAATTTTTCATCCTTATACTGTCTCCATACTATTAGTTGAAAATTACGATGGGATTCAGTTATTTCCACTTGTCTGTACATTTTGACGATATCTGCTGTAATAGCGTATTTGCGAAGACGAAACCTTAGCAATGTAGCGTATAGACAGGGCTGTATAGTTGGTCCGATCATGGTCCAAGAAATTCGTCCAATGACACTTGCGAGCTTGTCTTACCCGATGCATCGAAAACCACTCTATGTTTAGTGCTTGAACTTTGCGGTCTGAGCACACATTGATAAGGAATGAAGAAATGAGGCTCAGTCGGAATTTCATCATTGACCAACGTCATGTGGCCAAAGGAAATGTACTCCTTCATAAAGGCAACGTACATGGAATTTATTTCTGGGTTATTGGACATCCTCCTTTCTAGTGCTAAGAACCGCCTTTTTGCGATTTCAAACGACGAGCCGAGACAAGTTGGGCTGGACTTAAATGGCAATGAAACTTGAAGTCGATCGGAGGGTAACCGAACAATACTCTCGATGAATGCCTTTTCGCACATAATTTGCTCCGGAGTGTAAAGTTTATTCTGTGCAATGCTCGGGAGACTTTCTATTTCCCCAAATTTTCGAATCAACATGTCTACACTGCAATGATCTTGAACCTTGCAGAGAGTATTATAATTTTGATCAAAAGTGTGCAACGCTGTGAAGGAGACATCTCCGACGCTATGAAGTATATATATTCTTGATCAGAAGCACCTCCTGAGGTGATATGAGCATATCCGGCTGTCCGTTTGTCCGTCTGTCTGTCGGTTTCTACGCGAACTAGTCTCTCAGTTTTCAAGCTATCGACATGAAACTTTGCACACATCCTTAAAAAAATATAAGTCGGAACGACTGGAAACGGCCGACTATATCCTATAGCTGCCATATAACTGATTGATCGGAAATGGTATAACTTTGGTGTTTTTAGAGTAAGTGAGTTCAAACTTTACAGGAGAGCTATTTTTGAAAAAATATTACGACATGCCAAATTTCAAAAGGACCGGCCGACTATATCCTATAGCTTCCATATAACTGAACGATCGGAAATGACCCAACTTTCGTGTTTTTGAAGATAGAAAGATGGAACTCAGTACAGATTATATTTTTGGTCAGATAACCCGACGTACCAAATTTCATAACGATCGGTCGACTATATCTTATAGCTGTCATATAACTGATTGATCCGCAATGGTATTTGGTAGAAATTCAAGCTTTGGTGTTTTTGAAGATAGAAGCTAAAGACTTTTTTTTAGATATTTTATTATAATGAATTGGTTTTATTATGATATTTTTATAAGGATCGGTCAACTATATCCGATGTTTGCGATATATATCCGTTTTTAACTGGAAGGGTATATAAACTTTGGCTCCGCCCGAAGTTAGCTTTCTTTTCTTGTTGGCAAATAGTAGCCGGTGGCAAATGGTTAAAAATTATACGCAGTTTCAAACAATAAAGTGATTCTATAGTTTTATTCAAAACACACTGTACATTGCACATAAGTGTTTTGTCTTATTCAGTGTCTTATTAAGTGTCTTATTCATAACCTCATTCGATATCTAAGGAACATATATATAACTAAAATTCTAACGCTATTCATAAATGCAAATTTGTATTAATGTGATGTACAGTCGAAAAATCGTATAAGCCACGACACATTAGAAAATTTACTCCTTGTTCGCCTAAACTCAAAACACTTAGTTAATGCGATGGACAACTTGAGTTTATTTGAAGACGACGACTAAATATTTACTAAATAAATTTAGAATAGCTTCATCTTTTAATTTTGATTTAATTAGGAGCTATTAATATTTATTTGTTGTGTCTGAATGAACTAAATATTAAATATTATTACTTATTAATATTTGTTATTATTTACAAATCATTCTTACAAGGGTAAAGAAAGTGGGTAAGGAAGAAAGGAGGTAAAGAAAGTGGAAAGTTTTTGTTTTAAAAAACAAAAACAAAACTACTATAGAGCAGTAGCACATACAAAAATATTTTTTGCACTGCTCTGCTCTCGCTTTAGATTTTTGGCTACGGCTACGAAGAGCACAGAATATTTTTTTCTGCTATTGCTGTAGCTATAGCTTTAAACTTCTCGCTTTTAAAGCTCGAAGCAGAGCAGACAATTTTCATTTTTTTCATTTTTTTACAGCGAGTCGCCAGTCCTTCCTTGCCCCACTTCTTTCCTTGTCTATCCCTGCTTCTATCTCTTCGCCCGCGTGATTGGCAAGGAACAAGCAGGGCAACAACGCGCGACAACGAATGAGGAATAGCCGATTGGTAGAGTGCTTGGCTGGTGTGCAAAGTAAAACGAGTTCAAACCAGGCTCGGGACATCCATTTTTTTTTAATTTTAAATCTATTTATTTTATATTTTTAAATTTTTATAATGTGTTTTCCTAAATTTATAATCCAATAAAAAAAAATACAAAATTGTAAAATCACCTTAACATCGTCTCAGTTCGTAGTGGAACCCGCTGTAAAAATGTCTATAAGTGCGGGTTCTACGGCATTTTGGCAGGCCGCGTCGTGGAACCCGCTCCCAAATGTTTTCATTTTTTCCGTCGTGAAACCCGCTGTAATAATGAAAACATTTGAGGGCGGGTTCCATAACAAACGGCTGGCAGATGAGAGAGGGAAAGAGAGAATTCTGTTTTTAGATAGTAACATCTTTGGAACGATGAAAGTTTGAAACGTTGTAATCAAACCAATGTGAGAGTAAAGAGATCAGAAATATCTCTTACTATCCTTACTCGTCAGCTCTATTTTTGGTATGGATTCTAGCGCTTCCTTTAACACCAATTTTAAGTATCATAAAAACAACTTCGAGGGTAGCCTAGATGGATAGTGCTCGCTCCTTATTCATGGGGTCCTGCGTTCGATTTCATTAGCGGGCAGTTGTTTCAATTTTGATAAAGTTTTAGTTTTATGATCCTCTTTACATTTACTTTTATTTTTTTATTAATTTTTTTTTTTTTTTAATTTTTACGTTATTATTATTATTTTTAATTGCATTCTATTACAATTGTTGTAAAAATAAGCGACTGACGTGTCGGATGACAAAATGTTAGAAGGTCTCCCTTGAAATTTTATTAGCATCTTATTAGCAGGACATAATAAAGAATAAAACAATTTTACAATTGTAAAATTATAAAAAAATATTACCATAAAGAAAAATAAAAAAAAAAATTATGATAAAAGAAAGAAAGTCCTTACGAGGATTTTAACACAGAAAAATTACACATAGAGTAACTACTCTATGCATTACTCTACCATCCTGTCTCGATCTGCGGCGATCAAAAATACTATTTGTTCTACCAACTACCACATCGGCGCATCGAAAACAGAAACGAGAAATTGAAATTGAAATTTGGAAGCCAAAACATTTTTACTCCGTCGTGCGAGCAGTCACACATAAATACATAGGTTCACATTTTTGTTGGCGGATACATGTAAAGAGTTCTAAAAATAGAATCGTATGCATGTGCGTTCCTCCCTAACCAACAAGCTCGACGAAAAAAGTTGACCGTTTTGATCCCTGATGTCCCATCTATGTACTTTATAATCTTTGGTCTCAGTTATTTGGTATGCTTTCACGGTCCCCAACGCTTTCTTCAGACATGACAACAGGTGATTAAATTTTTCCACGTCGCTAAGAGTTTGATAGCTATCTATGAGACTAGTGAATAAACCAATTAAGTTCTTATACTCAGAGTAGCATCCGGAAAATTGGGTAAATTCATTCGAGGTAAATTTTTATTGTGGGAACTTGTTGTATTAAGAGTCGAGTTAAGTAATGGTGGTCTTTGATTTTGTACATTAGCTGACATATAAAGAGATTTTGTGGCTACACACTTGTCCTCCAGCTCAGCTCGCGAGGACAATACCGGATTAATGGACTCAATTCCCTCTTGAAAGTTAAATGCACGATTTATGTAATTGTTTAAAATGTCTAATCTGCACTCTAATTCGCTCCCTCGAATGGATACGACTTGTTGTTGCATAAACTTTCACATGCGGTCTATGTCACCCTTAACACTTTCAAGACGCGGAGTAATGAATTACGATCGTTGCCATCATTGACATCATGTACACTTGAACTTTGCTGACGACTTAAACGTCGCTTCGGAGCCTTGATGCAATTTTACGCTAAAATATCAATATAAGTGAGTCTTAGCCACCCACTGATTTAATTAAAATTGAATTCTCAAGTAGAAAGCACAGCTATCTAATGTTGCGATACGTTATATTGATTGAACTTATTTAAACTTTGTTAGGTTCCAGTACAAACTCATCAACCAAATTCAATGGGAGTTCATTTATTACTAGGTTATATCTGCTCCTTCTCTTCTTTCATTCGAAACTGCGACGCAGCGAGTAACAAGAACGAGTACTTAACAGAGCGATAATATCTTTAGGCGGTACAATTCAAATATTTCTCATAAGCAATTAATAAGACAATTAAAATAGAACAATTTTGAAAAAATTAATTAGGTAAATTTTTTGTTTACATAGACGGGTCACATTTTTACACATTTTACACATTTTCACATTTTTACATATATTTAAGACAAATTTCGTTTTTAATTTCCGCAGTATCCGTTTAGTTGCCGTCAAAATGTTTTCTGTCTTACTCTAACAAATTGCTAGTCGAACTTCTTCTTTTGAAACAGCTCACATCGTACTCACAAAGTCGACTTTGGCAAGCTATCACGCTTTTATCTATAGTTTGCAAAAATAAAAGCATAGATGTGTAGTTTTCAAAGTTATCACCATCAGCGATCTGAACTAGTATAGGTTGCATAAAAATACAACATATATTTGGCACTCGCTCTCTCTCATTGCTGGAAAACAGTTTTTGTCGGTTTAATTACTGCTTATATGGAATTAGTTTAGGATTTTAAGTATACATACATATGTAGGTATAAGCGGGAAAATTGGGCATCACTGGCAAATATGTTAACAGGGTTTAGATATGTGAGGGAAACGATAGATATTAAAAAAGTACTTTATTTCCTGTTTTGAAAATATCTAGAGAGAGGAAACGCTCCTTGAAAAGTAAGTTACATATGAGAGTGAGCTAGAAAAACATACTTTCTAAAAACTGAAAAAGGTTAAAACGAATAAATATTTAAGTTTATTAATGACGTCATGAAATCATAAAATATATGTACATATGAATGTATATATAGATGTATGGTATACGCATAGGCTTAGAACATTTTTGTGTATAAGATTTATTGTGTAAATCTATAATACTTAAATTTAAAATTCCAAAATTGTTATTTTACTAAAAAACGAATAACTAAATTTAAACGATTTATTGTTTTCTAGTTTTTTATCCTTCATAATGACTCTTGGTGAATTAAAAGATGAAAAGGCAACACAAAATAAAGAGAGAAGTGTTACTCATCAAAGAAATATTACCCCCCAAAATATTTCAGTACCAGGGGGAAAAATTAATGGAAATACAATAAATGAAAAACAGGTATCATTTTAAAAACAAAAAATGCAATTAATGAAAATATGCACATATTCTTAAATCATTATTTATGTTTGTTTATTACATACATGCATTACATACATATAATTGGCATAAAAAAAAATACGGATGTAGCTAATAGCTACATAAATATATACATATACATGTACATCCATGTTTACATACATACATATGTACACTGTGTTTCATTGAATAGCACACTTAGGCAATTAAGTGTAGCAATTTTCGTTTACCGAAACGAAAACTCTGTGTTTAAATTTATATTTATAGTTTAATCAATTTTATATATAACCAAAGTAAAAAAACTTTAATTAAATTAAAAAATAATATGAAAAGCTTAGAAAACAAGTATTTTGTAATGAATTCTTCACAAGAACATTCAAAATTACCTCATATGTACATACATCTTGTACATCTTGTTGGTCAGTGAATCATGTAGACCAGGGGTGCCCAAGCTCAGCATACGGCAGAGCAAACTCCAATACCAGTGCAAAAAATCACCAATACACCATTTACACCATTTTTTTCATTTCGATGCACTGAAAAATAAAATTATAGTAAAATTCACAAGGAGTTTCAAACAAATATCATTATAATAAAAAATACATTTTATTATATCAATTATAAATAGGGCATATATTTTTCACAACAGTTTATTATTATACTATGACAATAAATGCCTAACTTTTTACTTTAAAAATGTTCTGCAAAGCAGAAATTCATCGCTTCAAGTCGACCATTTTGGCTGAATGAAAAGCAAGAATGAGTTTCTTGTAGTGATAAGTTTTCGGCTATCCAACAACAAAATGCGTTCGGATTAGCACGATTGAGGAGAATAGGGAAAACACGAAAAATTGTTTTTGTATTTGGGCTTTGGCTATGCTGGGAGGATCACACGAATATGAAATTTCGTTTCCCATATGAAAGAGCAATTCCAACAACAAAGGAGCACCGAGAGCAATGGCACTGGGCACTCCTGATATACTTTTTCAATTTTTTCAAATCAAAATAATATTGTGGTCAGTTAAGAGTATTTTTAAAAAAGATTTAACAACACTAGCATTGTGTTTTGGGGCATTGTCATGTACTGGGTGGGCCAATTAAAAATCACCTTTTGGCGATAAAATGAACCCGCGTCAATATTTTTCAATTCTGATTTTTTTATTGTAAAGCTTAATTCTTCCGGTTTAATGATGGAACACAACATCATTCTAGCGTGGCATTAGCCGATGCGATAAGACCAATTTTTGACGACATTCTCGAGCGTGTGGGGCTATATCTGGCCAATAACTTCGCCGATTTCGGCGCGCCGGCTAATAATGCGTTCGCCGAACTTCTCGCGCAGAAGATCGATTTTGGCATTGCTTGTGTGGCACGGTGCACCATCCTGTTGAAACCAAATGTCTTCCACGTCCATTTGGTCGATAATAGGCCACAAAAAATCGCTTATCATGGCTCGGTAGCGCTAGCCATTGACCGTAACGGCTCTTCCCGCAATGTCTTTGAAGAAAAACGTCCCAATGATACCACCATAATCCGCACCAAACAGTCACTCGTTCTGGATGCATTGGTTTCTCCGCGATCACATGAGGGTTTTCCGTTCCCCAGATACGGCAGTTTTGCTTATTAACATAGCCGCCAAAATGGAAATGCGCCTCGTCCGAGAAGATGATTTTTCGCCCAAATCTGATTCAAATTTTTCGTCCAAATACTTTGGAAGTAAAATTTTACCATTTCCCAGCGTTGTTCGTTCGAGAAGCGTTCTATTTCGTGAACCGGAGTTGATATACTGAACAACTATGAATATGCGACTGATATGTGTGGTGACGTTCTCGAAATAACTAATAGTTAAAAATGTGACAGCTACGGGGCCCACCCTGTAGAAATGTTCGAGTTAATGATTTCAAAATGTATTATTGCGGAAAAGCTTTTTCCAAAACTTTGGTGTATGCGCATATTTAAAGTTAAAAATTGGAGTTTTCAAGTCCCAGCTGGGTAGACGCACCAAAATTTGAGGATCGGCCGACTATATCCTATAGTTTCCATATAATTGAACAATTGGCAATGGTATTTCGTATTTGGTAAAAATACCAACTTTTTTTAAAGATAGAAGCATGGAACTTGTTTTTAGATTTTGTGTTGTAATAAATTTTTTTTTATATGATATTCTCATAAGCCAGCTATATCCGATTTTTGCGATATATACCGCTTTTTGTTGCATTTGGGCCAAATAAAATTTAGTTACTTTTGTAGTCTATATAGCCATGCCCGTCTCCGTCCTTCCGTCTGTCCGTATAAACGCACGGATCTCAGAAACTATATGAAAAATCTATAGGATTTGGCGTGGAGACTCTACAATGCCCACGCTGTTCAAGTTTGTTTCAAAATTTTTCCAAAATTACAAATTAAAAATCAAAACATTTTTGATGCCAAAAATTTGAAACAAACTTGAACTGGCATATCTCCACGCCAATACGGACATACGGGCATGGCTGTATCGATTCGGTTGTTGATGCTGATCAAGAATATATATACTTAATAGGGTCTGAGAAAATTCCTTCTACATGTTAAATACATTCACACGACTACAATATATCCTTGTATCCTACGAGTACCGTAAATCACTGCAGTGTGAAAAAACGTAATATTGTACATAAATATATAAGGATAGAACACTTTCAAAAGCTTTAAAAATACCAGGATATGTCCTACCTTTAAATGTAAAACACATTATCTAGAGCATATAGTAACTTCCAAATGGCACGACTATAAATTTTATAGTATCAAATGTTTTGCAAGCTCAAAAGGGGCGCAAAGTGGGTTTTTTTATGGTATATTATATAGAAGTCAAAATAACTCAGAATACAACCCTAAAATGATTAAGCAATGAGCGACAGGGTACAGTTCTCTGCGCTTTTTTTCCAATCAGGAAATAAGTTCTCTATACACAGCATAAAAATCATTATGGATTAAGATGAATGCATGAATACCTTGAAGACATCTACGATACCTTTGCAGAGTGTAAAATGACACACGTAGGACACCATGCGATAATATTGGGCAAGAACGAGCGATTAACCACTGCAACCTTTTTCTTATGCAAGCGCTCGAAATATGTCAGAGTAAGAGCGAAGCGAGTTGCGAGAACAAAGCGAGAGAGACCTGCTTTATCGCTTCAACTCACTCAGAGCGAGTTTTGTTGCATTATGTAATTTAATTACCGTTTATTATACCCTTGCAGAGGGTATTATAATTTTGTCCAAAAGTGTGCAACGCAGTGAAGGAGACATCTCCGACCCTATAAAGTATATATATCCTTGATCAGGATCACCTCCTAAGTTGATATGAGCATGTCCGTCTGTCCGTCTGTCTGTCTGTTTCTACGCAAACTAGTCTCTCAGTTTTAAAGCTTTCGACTTGAAATTTTGCACACACCCTTCTTTCCTTTGCACGCAGTATATAAGTCGGAACGGCCGGGATCGGCCGACTATATCCTATAGCTGCCATATAACTGATTGATCGGAAATGGTATAACTTTGGTGTTTTTAGAGTTAGAGAGTTCAAGTTTGACATAAGGGCTATTTTTGGCAACACATTACGACATGCCAGATTTCATAAGGATCGGCCGACTATATCCTATAGCTGCCATGTAACTGAACGATCGGAAATGGTATTTGGTAGAAAAATCAACTTTCGTATTTTTGAAGATAGAAGCTTGGAACTTTTTTTTAGATTTTTTATTGTAATTAATTAGTTTTATTATGATGCAATCATAAGGATCGGCCAACTATATCCGATGTTTGCGATATATATCCGGTTTTAACTGCAAGGGTATATCAACTTCGGCTCCGCCCGAAGTTAGCTTTGCTTTCTTGTTTTATTTTAATATTGTATTAGCCAAACGTCGAAATAGACGTCGTTCTATTTCTTTCCTACTGCAGTTAAGTTATCCTATAGCTGCCATGTAACTGAACGATCGGAAATGGTATTTGGTAGAAAAATCAACTTTCGTATTTTTGAAGATAGAAGCTTGGAACTTTTTTTTAGATTTTTTATTGTAATTAATTAGTTTTATTATGATGCAATCATAAGGATCGGCCAACTATATCCGATGTTTGCGATATGTATCCGGTTTTAACTGCAAGGGTATATCAACTTCGGCTCCGCCCGAAGTTAGCTTTGCTTTCTTGTTTTATTTTAATATTGTATTAGCCAAACGTCGAAATAGACGTCGTTCTATTTCTTTCCTACTGCAGTTAAGAGGGTGGTTGCCACTTTATTTTTCAATACAAAGTTAAGTGTTCCACTTGAAGCATAAAAATCTTCGTCCGAATCCATCACGGTCACATTAACAACTAAAAAATACACTGCCGTGCACTTGAATAGGGACAAGAATTTTTTTATGTTTCGTTTTATGTTTTTTATGAATCTACTAGGGCTATTGACATATGCCTTTTTGATTTCTAAAGAAGAGAACATAGGCTAACTATGGAAATAAAAGAGAGGTCGCAACCATTTACCTTTATAATTTTTTTTTTCGTATTGGCTTTAACCATTCCTAGAAAGCTGTACATTTTTGCATGCACTTGAATAGGGACAGGAACTAAAAATTGGTGTTTAAGGAATAATATACAACATTTTATTAATATTAAGTCTTATTTATTAAAAATTTGTCAAATTAAACTATTTTAATAATGTGTGTGACCACCATTGTTGAATATATCCTCATAAATTTTATTAGGAATAGAGTCATATATTGCCTTTATGTAATCTAAGGATATTTGACTTCAGGCTGTGTTGATGGCATCTGTTAATGCTTGTATGTCTTTGTATTGTCTCCCAGATTCATATAATTTTTTTGTCATCCATCCCCACACATTTTCAATTACATTGAGATCCGGAGAATATGGGGGCTACTCCATAAGATCCAGGTTTTGCTGCCGAATCCAAGCTTTTACCACTCGTGCTGTGTGGATTGGGGCATTATCCTGTTGGAAAGTCCACGATAATGATCCAAAGATGTTTTTTGCCTCAGAAAACGCTTCCTCGAGTAAGCCTTTGTAATGCGTTGCGTTCATTTTAGAAGACACAATCTGCAGCTTGCATGTCTCATAGTATGTTAAAGCATCCCATACCATTACACCTTTCTCACGGCAATGGTGACGGGACATAAAGTGTTTTTCTTTTCGTATATCATGAAAATAATATGAAAAACCATCAGGTCCATCCAAGTTACAACGCTTTTCATCTAAAAACGCATCAGTATGCCATTCCTTCTGCCAAGTCATATGATAACGTGCATAGATGAGGCGAGAATCCTTCTTTGGTTATTTAACGGAGGGTTTTTTTTAGTTTCAATCTTTTCAGATGATTAGCTTGCCGTATAACTCTCCGTACTGTATCCACACTTGCATTTAAATTTAGTTTTTAATGAATTTTCGAAGCCGCACAGTGTGAATTTGACTCTTCTCGAACAATTCGGCGCTCTGCAGTAGATAAAAGGACTTTTTTGGTGCATCCTCTAATGTTATTCCCATAATTTGCAGGGTTTTAAGCAAATAACATTTTTCTTTTTCGTATTTTTTCAGCAATTTTTCTGTATGTAAAATTACATTCCTTATACGCCATTATTATACCTTTTTCAACAGCAGTTAGAGCTTTGCCGCGGCCCATTCTGTTTTATTTATATTTAAAAGGTCTGTCAGTTGACAAATAATAAACTTTATCGCATGGAATTTGGCTCAGAATGGAGAAATCACGTCTGTCCCTATTCAAGTGCATGCAAAAATGTACAGCTTTCTAGGAATGGTTCCAGGAAAAACCAGAAAAAAATATAACGGGAAAATATAAATTGGGACCTCTCTATTATTTCCAAAGTTAGCCTTTGTTCTATTCTTCAAAACTCAGCAAAGCACATGCCGATAGCTGTAATAGATTAGGAGAAAAATAAAACGAAACATAAAAAAATTCTTGTCCCTATTTAAGTGCACGGCAGTGTATAACAATGTAGCTCGCTTTCCGCAAAGCTCTAACTCTGCCATCTTCTCGCGTTGCTCATCGGTTCTCGCGCGCACTTTGAGTTCAATCTTAAGGGGTTACATATCTTTTTTTTTTTTTTCAAAAAAACGAAAAATTTTTTTTTGCTGAATCCTAAAGTATGTTTCCTAGAGAATATTTTCCCAAATTTTCATAGAGATCCGAATAATAGTTCGATAGGAAAACAGCGTTTTGAGGCGCGGTTCGTCACGGCTGCGGACAGCGTCAAGCAACTTTGAATGCGATTATCTCAATGTCGTGTTTTTCCAAAAGTGCCTTCGCTGTGACCACGGTTGACCACGAATTATTCGTAATTATTGTGCCTAGTTCGTGAACGATTCAGTTTTTATGCGCCAATTTTGAATTTTTTAATGAAATTTTTAGAACTCGAAAAATCAATTTTTTGGAAAAATTGTTACTGTATGCAGAAAAAACCAAATATTCTTGAAAATAATCGTTCACGAACTGGAAATAATACTATACTAATACAAAATTGTTGGTTTTTTTTATTTCGGTTGACCTGCTGGACGTCCATCGTGGTCACCACAAGCCATTCTTAAAAAAAGGGTTCCGAGAGAATTGCCATAACTTCGTAAATTATTCATATTTTTTCAAGAACAAACGTTTGTTTCGATAAAAACATGTACTATCAATAAATAATAACTTCAGTGTTATAAAATAACACAGTGCGAAAAAAATAAAAAAATTGGAGGAACTTTTGAAGAGACCTAGTAGGAATTTTTCATTAGGTCGAATATAGTGCAAATCCGTGTTTGAAATTTTTCTAACACCCTCAAAATCTTGATTTATTTAGAAAAAACGTTTTTTCGGGACTTTTTTGCTCTTAAAAATTCAATATTGACACATATCAATATTGTCTCGTTAATTCTGAATAAACAAGACCAATTTTATTAGGAAGTAATGAAAATTATTTTCCTTAAATACCATTTCTTGGAAGTTGTACCGAAAAAATAACGTCAAAGTCCGAAAAACACGACATTTAACTATTAAACAAGAAAGGAAAGCTAACTTCGGGCGGAGCTGAAGTTTATATACCCTTGCAGCTAAAGT